CAGCTTCTGACGTCATCCAAGTGTGACGCGTTTCAGAGCATGCGCAAGGTTCGCCGTAGACCAGCGCGCTCCTTTCTCAAGCATGTAGTGCAGTATGCATAAGAGCCTTATATGGGGAATAGTGAGGGGTGGTGGGCGGGGAAAAAAAAGGGAGATTGGCAGGGGAACAGGTAACAAACAGGATGAAATAGCAAAAGGTATCATGTTAATACATTAACTTGTGTACCCAATACACTATTCCATTAATTTTATTATTTATTAATCATTTATTCCTATATACAGTGAAGAAATGCGTATTTGATCTCCTTCTGATTTTGAATGTTTGCCCACTCACAAAGAAATGATCAGTCTGAAAATGAAAGCCTTGTGTAGGTCTACAATCTTGTCCCTGACATCCTTGGACAGCTCTTTGGTCTTTGCCATGGTGGAGAGTTTGGAATTTGATTGTTTGATTGCTCCTGTGGACAGGTGCCTTTTATACAGGTAACAAAACGAGATTAGCAGCACTCCCTTTAAGAGACTGCTTCTAATATCAGCTTGTTACCTGTATGAAAGACACCTGGTAGCCAGAAATCCTACTGAATGATAGGGAATCAAATACTTATTTCCCTCATGAACATTCAAATCAGTGCATCATTTGTTAGACATGCATTTCTTTTGAATTTTTTGTTGCTATTCTGTCTCTCAGTGTTACAATACACCTACCATTCAATTTTTAGACTGATCATTTCTTTGTGAGTGGGCAAACATTCAAAATCAGCAGGGGATCAAATACTTTTTCCTTCACTGTATGCATTTATTGGGATATCATACCTATTTAATATTTAAAATTTTTTATATTTTCATTTTATTTTCATTTTTTACATGTCATTTAATGTATTCACATGATACCATTAGCTATTTCATCCTGCTGGTTACCTGTTCCCCTGCCAATCTCCCTTTATTTCCCCTCCCACCACCCCTCCCTGTTCCCCATGTAAGGCTCTTATGTATACTGCATTACATGCTTTAGAAAGGGGCACGCTGGTCTACGTTAAGCCTTGCGCATGCTCAAAAATGCATCACACTTGGATGACGTCAGAAGCTGATGCCACCGCTCGGAGTCCTACAGCGGGCCACCACAGCGGAGTACATCCTGGTGGTCTCCTCCACCCTGACTGCTCCCCATCGTCCTACTGTCCTATATTCCACAGAGGCTTACCATTTTGACGATGAGGCGGACTGAGCATCCATATTAATGATGAGCCGGTAATTTATCATGAACATGTGAGTTGCCTACTTACTTTCTAACCATTAAACTTGCATCACAGTCTACACCTAGAGGCACTGCGTTTCTTCCACATTAGAGTCTGCTTCACTCTACCACAACCTGCCTTGGTATTCAACCCCTATCCATTCCCTTCTCCACCATTGAATTCCTACTACTGGATTCATTAAGACTCTTTATAGCAGGCATGTCCAAAGTCCGGCCCGCGGGCCATTTACGGCCCGGGGGTCGGTTTAATACGGCCCTCCAACAGCCCTCCCTGCTCTGTGTAATGTGGCCCTTCCACGGCCCTCCCTTCTATGGCAGACAGTCTTCTGCTTGAGAGCAGAGGGCAGTGCGCATGCCTGACTGCGGCGCGTTCTCCCTGGTCTGTGTAAATGCGGCTGTCGCACGGCCCTCCCTTCTGGGGCAGACAGTCTTCTGCTTGAGAGCAGTGCACATGCGTGACTGCGCCGCGCTTGGAGCGACAGAGGGTGGTGACGTCAGGGCCGGGCTTCCAGCGTGAAGTGTGTTTCTCTTCCCCTCCCGGCTGCCGAGCAGAGACTTCCGCTCCAGCTACCTTTTTGACCCTTCACATTAGTGCAGGTAAGTTTTTTTTAAAATTTATTTTCAATACATTGTGAAAGCTCAGCTGTCAGTTGATCTTAATGTTATGAAATGAAAAGTATGTTGTTTGCAATTAACTTGGCATAAAATAATTTATTTGCATTTAATTGTAATGGTTCAAAGAATGTTCGGAAAAATGTTCGGCCCTCCACCATGTTCACTTCATCCAATCTGGCCCTCTTTGAAAAAAGTTTGGACACCCCTGCTTTATAGACTTTTGTTCTGCAGGTTCCATACGCCTATGATTTCCTTGCATTATATCCATGTATGTGCATATGAGGTCTTCCCCTGAATGTGATACTTCCATGTACAAGTGTGCGCAGCAATTCACCTCTACGTCTGACTTGACACGCCACTTGGGGCTCCCTGGACGCAGGTAAACACTAGGAACTTACGCTAGAGAATCTTTGCGTTTGCAAATGTCCAAACAGTGAAGATAATGTCAAATAACAGAATATAGCAGATAATTCAGCAAATACTTGCTTATGGTTATTAATTGATTGTAAGCTCTAACGAGCAGGGCCCTCTGTTTCCTTTTGTATTGTAACTGTAATGTCTGCCTTTATTTTGTAAGGTGCTGCGCAAACTGTTGGCGCTATATAAATCCTGTATTATAATAATAATTATTAGAATATCAAGAGAAAACAAAAGGTACCTGGTGTGGAGGATTGCTGTCACATTTTAGAAAAGACCCTCACCCTACCACTGGCGTTGATCCTCCATACTGGGTGTCTTTTTATTTCTCTTGAATTATTACTATGTTCCATTATATAGGTTTTCCTTCACTGTTTGAGCTGCATATGCATGCTTTAAAAAGTGGACTTTATTCCAAGAAACATGTTGGTTGAAATCAGCATATTCAAAATAATGTGCATTGTAGGGCATGCAATTATGAGATTGTAACAGATATTTGTCGTATGGTGCATTGAATATAAAAAAGATGTCTTGTTTTTATAGTATTGAATATTTGCATATTATAAATCCCCTTTGCTCCATGGGCAGCACAGTGGCTAAATGGTTAGCTCTTCTGCCTGGCAGCACTAGGGTCATTGGTTTGAATCCAAACCATGGCACCACCTGCCTGGAGTTTGCATGTTCTCCCTGTGCCTGCGTGGGTTTTCTACGGGTACTCTGGTTTCCTCCCACACTCCAAAGACATGCTGGTAGGTTAATTGGCTCCTGTCTAAATTGGCCCTAGTATGTGTGATTGTAAGTTAGGAAGCTTAGATTGTACACCCCTTGAGAGCTAGAGACTGATGTGAATGTATAATATACCATATATATGTAAAGCACTGCATAAATTGACAGCACTATATAAGTACCTGAAATAAATAATAATAATAATTTCCTCTATTGAATGTTGCACATGGACATCTTCAAAGTCCCCTTGCATGAAATCCCAGTTACTTTTCTGTTTCCTGGGAAACCGCAATCCCACGTACAGCTGCCCCTACATGTGAATGAGTGTACACAGCCATATTCATGTTAACCTCGCTGCTTTCTGCTTTTAGGTTTACCCATGTATGTACATATGGCACATTACCCCAAATTTGCCATCTTTGCACGTGGGGAAATACACACATACAGTACATGCGCAAATATTCGGCATTTAGGCAAGTCTGGCCACATGCAGCCATTCACTTGTATGGGCAGCTCTACGTGGCACCTGTGGCTCCCGGGTGTGGAAAAGTGCCAGGAGTTTTACATTACAGGACTTTAAAGCCTCTGGATGTCCTTGTGTGATTCTTTTATTACTAGGTACAGGTGCATTATAAAAAACTTCCTGTAATCTATGCTGTAAAATGAAAGCAAACTCCAGAAAGTTTATTTTTCTTTTGGCTAGAATGAAGAAGAGTCAGTCAGGCTTTCATTTCTGTCGGTGACCCCACTAGGGAAATTGTCCCTCACTTCCTGTCCCTGTGACACCCTGCAAGAAATCATGGAAGCAGTTGTGATCAGGACAGAAAGGCACAGAAAGCATTTTGTTTTGGATGAAGTTACACTTTGTCTTTTGGTATTTTCAGTGGACACAGGATATATTAGTTTCTGTCGCTGGCCTAACAGGATTTTCAGTTTGTATTTCACAGTTCTCTCTCTCTTGATTAATGTTTTTAATAAAGCTTCATCATGACCTCAGGCTGTCAGACGTGGCTGTCCATGCAGTCAGAGTGTGACCTGGAACCCTCCACATATCCATCTCATTCATCCATTTTAATAATAGCCATCCCTAGAGTTTAGTCTGGATCATCCATCCCACTCCTCTTTTTCATTTACCATCTTCCCGGCTCTTGTGTCACTTCTCTGTACATTATGATCTGCTTACAGCGGACCTAGCACTAAATGCAAGGTCCACTTATCTGTTCAGGTCCTGCTTCCCCTTTAAAAATCGCCTAATGTTACAAATTCTAAAATGTATAGTATATATAATGTATAATATATATTACCATCATCCGTCGCCCGTGATGCTTAGCGAAGGATGACGTCACTTCTTCTGGTTAGATCCTGGTGAAGACACAACATTCAAAGTCTTACGAGAAGATGCTTTTGTAATGGATTGGCATGTCTTTTCACAAGATTTTGCCTGCTCTGCATCTCCCGGGAATCTTCACATAATGTCGGTGATATAAGGGAGTAAAGTAAGTGGAAATCCAACTTTTTTTCTTTACAGCTACATTCTGGAAGAACTAACAGCAGGTAATTTTTAGCCCTGGTTCACACTGATGCAGTCCAGAATTTGCAGCGTTTTCTGTGCGAATTATGCACCGCATCAGAATCGCACCCTGTTCATGCAAACCGCCGTGGGTGTGTATGTTAAGTTAAAAACACCCTGAAATCGGTCCACAAAACGCGGTGCAATGTGCAGAATCAGATCACATAGGTGTGAATACCCATACCATCCGATTCTAGTGCGGACCCAAAAAAGGGTCCTGCACGTTTTTGTTGCGGGTGCAGTGCGATTAGAGCCATACAAAATGTATGGCTCCAATTGCACCGCACACAAATCGCATGTGATTTGCACAGGAATGCGGTGCCTTCCAGAATCTTTAACCACTTGCTAACCACGCTATAGCCGAATGACGGCTACAATGCGGTTGTCCAGTTCTGGGAGGGCATCATATGACGTCCTCCCAGAGTGCGCCCTTCCCACATGCCCCCAGCCGTGATCGCCGTGTCCTATGGGCACAGCTGATCACTTGATGAGGTAAAAGGCCAATCACAGTGGCCTTTTACAACATTATCAGCTGTGTCCAATGAGATAGCAGATCACGGAGTAAATACAGTTGCCAGTTATCAGCAGCATTTTCCTCACACTGTCACAGAGCAGATCGCACTGATCATCAGGGCATTGATGATCAGTGCCCTGAAGTGCCGCCCAGCAGTGCCACCCATCAGTGCCCATCATCAGTGCCACCCATCAGTGCTGTCCAGCAGTTGCGTCCATCAGTGCCATCAGTCAATACCGTCAGTCAGCGCCGCCTGTCAGTGTCTCCCATCAGTGCTGCCTATCAATGACCATCATTGCTGCATATCAGTGCAGCATCATCAGTGCCTCCTCATCAATGCCCACCAGTGCCGCCTCATCAGTGCCACCTCGTCAGTGCAACCTATCAGTGCCCATCAGTGCTGACAATCTGTGCCACCTCATCAGTGCCTATCAGTGCTGTCTATTGGTGCAGCCTCATCAACGCACATCAGTGAAGGAGAAAAATTACCTTTTTGCTAAATTGTATAATAGAAACAAAGAAAAAAACGTTTTTTTATTCAATTTTTTTTGCTCTTTTTTCATTCATAGTGCAAAAAAATAAAACACCTAGTCAGGGGCGGACTGACCATTTGGAAACGCGAGCACTGCCCGAGGGCCCGGGGTCAGTAGGGGGCCCCATGAGATGCCCCTGGTACCTTTTTCATAGGCTTTTTTGAGTTTCGGCAAGGACACAGGGGCCCCATGATCCCCTATTGGCCGGGGGCCCCATGAGTTGTCAGTCCGCCCCTGCACCTAGTGGTGATTAAATACCACCAAAAGACAGCTCTATTTGTGTGAGAAAAATTATAAAAATGTCACATGGGTACAGTGTTGCATGATCGTGCAATTGTCATTCAAAGTGCGAAAAAGCTGAAAGCTGAAAATTGACCTGGGCAGGAAGGGGAGGGGGGGGGGGGGAGTGACCAGTAGGCAAGTGGTTAAAGTCGTTGTAAAGGCCGAGAGGTTTTTTTTTTTACCTTTTTGCATTCTATGCATGAAGGTAAAAAAAGCCTTCAGTGTGCAGCTACCCCTACAGCCCCCACTAATACTCACTTGAGTCCAATCTCGATCCAGCAATGTGCACAAGAGCAGTGGCTCTCCCAGGTCTCTCCCTCCTTATTGGCTCAGGCACAGCCCCGCTGCTATCAGTCACAGCCAGTAAGGAAGGAGGGGCGGGGCAGAGCCACGCTCCATGTGCAATTGGACTCTCTCTCTCTCTCACTGTTTCTCTTCTCTGTCTCACCCCCCCCCCCCCCATGTCTTTCATTCCTTCTCTGTCTGATCCCCCTCTCTCTTCATCTCTCTCCCCCCATCTGTCCCCACTTTCTCAGTTGCTCTTCTGTGTATCTCTCTCCCCTGTCTCTGTCAGTCTCTTTCCCCTTTCTGTTTGTCTGTTCACCCCCCCCCCCCCCCCCCCCATCTGCCCCCTTGGTTTCTCTTTTCTCTCTCTCTCTATCCCCCTCTTTGTCTATCTGTCCCTCCTCTATCTCAGTTTCTCTTTTCTCCCCCACCCCCGTCTGTCCCCTCTCTCTTTCTCTTTCAACCATCAATTTTCCCCCTCTCTTCCTTTTCATCTATAACATCTTTGCTGTGTCTCACCATTGTCTCCATATCCTACCCTCATTGATGTGCTCTGCTCTGTCCTTGGTACCCCTTGTCCTTTTATGCCCAGAACACATCCTCCTCAACAACAGTAGACATTTAGGAAGGAAGTGATCTTGAAGTGAGGAATAATGAGGATCTGGAAGCTTTTCTTTAGTTAGTCTCACTTTCTAGCAGAAAAAGAGAAATATTGCCCCCAAGCATGCAAAAATGAAAGGGACTGGGAAATGTTTTTTACATTTTTGATAAATAATTAGTGATGTTTCTGGAGAGAAGCGGCTTGTGTTTGTACCGCTGGGAATTGAATTTCCATAGGCTTTCCAGGGTGGGATAGGAGAGGCATACTGAGCAGTCACGACTTGTGTCTGTGGAGGTCCCCATGCAGCTGGATGATTTCATGAAGTGTCATAATGAAAGGGAGCACTTCAGCTTGAAAATGAATTATCTGCACTGCCGCCCTTCTCTATCCCCAGCATTGGTCCATAAGGGCTTGTTCATACTAGCCCCTTGGGGCCACATCGCCCAATTCAGTCCTAGCAAACAGACAAGACAATTTGCCTTATTTCATATTGTTTCATTTCGCAGATGCAATAAAAAAAGGTGAGATTGGTTTAATTTTTACACACTACACTGCACCGCAATATGATACGCTGCACAGAGTCAAATTAAATGTCATTTTATGACATTTCAACAAAGTTTAAAGTGATTCTAAAAGCTGAAGGTTTTTTTCCTTCATGCAGTCTATGCAGGAAGATAAAAAAAAAACATACAGTGTGCAATTACCCTCTGCAGCCCCCCCCCCCCCAATACTTACCTGAGCCCGAGTCCAATCCAGCGATGTGCGCGAGAGTCGAGGCTCTCCCAGGTCTCTTCTTTCTCAAATGGCTGAGACACAGCAGCGGAAGCCATTGGCACAGCCACTGAGGAGGGAGAGTGGGGGGCTGCCAGAGGCAGCTCAGGAGCGAGCATGCACAAGTTCCCCCAGAACAAGCAGCTTGCTCTGAGGGCACGCAGCAGGGGGGAGGGGCCAGGAGCACTGGTGGGGGACCCTCGAAGGTAAGTATGATATGTTTAGTTTTTCGTTATTTTTAAAGGGAGCTTTAGTATCACTTTAAATAAAAAGGTATACTGTACAATGCATTTTAACAATGCATTGCACCACCCCTACACAATGTACACCAGCGGGCATGCATATACAGACCATAACACACAATATAAACAGGCCCTAAGACAGGCCATACATCGATTCACTTTCTTCTGTTCAACTTGTGGGTTGAACAGAAGAAAATTATTTGATTCCTCCATCCACACATACAGTATGAGGTGGATGGGGAGCTATTGTATTCTGACAGCAGGGAGGCTTCCTCACCATCAGAATATACTCATCAACTATAGCTGGTGGCACTGATAGAATGAAAATTTCCAACAGGCAGGTTGTACTAAAGTCTATCGACAGATCGACTCCTGTACAACCAGCCTGCCCTTAGATGGGTCAAAATTCAGTTGGTCTGTGCTGAAACAGCTGAATTTCGATCCATCCATGACCAGCTTAAAGCTGCATTTATACCTGAGAAGAGTTTTTTGAGCATTTGTGAGCATTTTTGCGTGTGTATACGAGCATTTTAGAAGCATATTACAAGCATGTTACATATGTATTCAAGCTTCAGGTGTTTTTTATTTGGAAAGCACTAAGGGGAGGAAACCAGTACTTACAGGTTCAAAAATAACTGAAATACGCCTGAAAAAGCTCAAACACTCAATTTGAGAATTTCAGGCATTCCTATTGAAATATATGGGGCCCAAAACACCCAACTCTGCCTCAAAAGTAGCTTTTGAAGCTTTGACCTACAGGCATCTGAGAGCTCATAAGTGAACGGTCACCATTGAAATACATGGGGTTTTGGATGTTGAATGTTTTAGAGCTTCCAGCTGCAAAACGCTCAGGTGTGAATGTGACTTAATTGTGCACTGACTATGTTAACCCCTTCTCACCTGCCCCATGTCTCTTTAAACAGTTCTGAATGTCCAGGTAGCTGGAAGGATCAGCAATCATGTGACTATTGTCACTGTGATCATATAATCAGAATTTGGTCCCACCAGCTACTGATCTTTAATCTGGACTGAAAGCTGTCTTTGTGCTGCAAGCATGCACTGAGTACGCTCATCGGTCATCCAGCGACACACATGTACAGCTGCAAAAGGGTGGGCTTTATTGCATATGTGTTGGGTGGTCATAAAGGGGTTAACAGCTCTTCGCCTCATTTCCTTGATTTAGACCTGCTTTATGTTTTATGCCCATTAACATTACAAAAGAGGTCACTGGGGGGGAGGGGCCCCAATTGTTGTTGAGCCCCTATTCAAAAACAGATTGTTGCTCCAGCTTCCATAGTTCTGCCATCACAAGTTCCCTTTAAAACCCCCCCTTGAGCTCACAGAATTCCACATATGGAAAAACACTGCATAGAAATACAAATAAACATTGTAAATAGGATATTTCTTCCAAACTCTAATAGTTACTGTCATCCTTACAACCATCAGATTTGCAAATGCTTCTGCCGAGAAGAAAGGCACATGAGACTCATTTCGAATGGTGGATTAGCCAATTATACCTCAGCGACGTTGATGGTAATAACATCAAAAGTTTCTTAATAAAAAAAATTCATTATTGTTGTTCCCGTCGTGACTCCGCAGTGCATAAGTCATCCCCTTATAGCAAAAATGTAACATTTATTTTATGATTACATGGAACTGTTCTTATTACACTGCTTAATCTGTCTGCAGCAGTAACTTATTACTCCTAACAGCCGGCACCATGATAAATGATTCTGACAGTCTCCCGAAAGATTCAATCCTGCCTTTTTAATTGTCTTTCTGCTTGAAAAGCTCCTAAACTCGATTTTAAGTATTTTAAGGTTCTTTCAAAGAGCGCACACTACCCAATGCATCCTATTGCCTTTAGAATGAGGTCTGTTTTACATTTCCGATTCACTTTGTTTACTAGTACCTGACTTTGTGGGCTTGAGTGGTGGAACTCTTCCTACTGACACTTCAAGTCAAGATTTTGCCCATTTAGTTATTCATTTAACACAGGTATTTTTATAGCGGCAACAATTTTCAAAGCGCTTTCATACTGTAGACTCACATCAGTCTCTGCCATCAAGGAGCTTACAGCCCAAGCTCAATATTTCATATCCATACACAAACGTACACACACACTAGGGACAATCATAGACAGGAGCCAATTTCTCTACCAGCATGCCTTTGGAGTGTAGGAGGAAACCACGGGGAAAACATGCAATGTCCATGTAGATAGTGTCCTGACCAGGATTTGAACCAGGGTTACCAACACTGCAGGGCATCTGTAGCTGATTATCATTTCCCCTGTTTAAATTGTGCAGTTTTGTGGCAGATTTTCTATTAAAGTCTAAATCCAACCAGATGTAGCACACTCTAGTGGCACTAGAGAATTAGGTAAATTTAATGGCTTACTCAGTAGTTGCAATCAGCATGTCTGAGTGGGGGTCAAGTCCAGATCAGTCCAGGTTAGGCTGGATGACTCAGCAGGTTGGGCCTCTCTTGCCTCCACCTGGTTCTGGAGGTTCATGGAACCTTCCAGAAGCTAGTGGGCGGAGGGTTGGAGATAATAGCTTTAAGTACAGTTATGGCATATCATAAAGCTATTATGATCTCACTTCCTGCTACATTCAGTCTGATCCAGCCATGGGCTCCTGTTCTCTGCAGTCAGTGCTGCTATACACAGGATGTCACCTTCTGTTCTCTGCTCCCCTCCTCCGCAGTCTGCATTCACCACTCCATACACAGGATCTCACTTCCTGATCCAGCCATGTGCTCCTTTTCTCTGCTCCCCTCCTCCACAGTGTTCATCACCGCTACCATTCAGATAGGATCACAACTCCAGATCTAGCCATGTGCTCCAGCTCTCTGCTCTCCCCTCCGCTATCTGCATCACTGCTACCATACTGACAGGCTGTCACGTCATGATTCAGCCATGTGGTCCTGCTCTGTGCTCGCCCCCTCAGCAGTTTACATTCAGCGCTGAAATATGATGTCACCACCTCCTTCAGCTCCAGCTCTGTACTGCTCCTGGCGCCTCACTCTGAGTTCACAGGAGCTGAAACTACAGAGGAGGCATCGGGTTGAGAATATTGGAAGCAACACTGGGCGGATATACATCTGTCACAATGCTGATTTGTGGCAGAACCCCTGGGGACTTCTCTCGGAAACCCTAGGGTTCAGTGGGACCCCAGTTAAGAAATACTGCTCTATATGTTGCCAACTACTGCTGTCTTACGACATTTGTGCACCCTTCTTGAGATCTGAAAAAGATGCCAGAATTCATGGTTAGGACACATATTATCGCTAAAAATTGTCATCCTCCCTAAATTTTTCTATTTATTTTGCGTACTCTCATTTAAGATACCCTCCCACAGATTGCAATCAATTCAGAACCTGATATTTGCCTTTTTCTGGAACAAGGTTAGCCTGGAGTCAATCATAAAACTCTTTTCGGCTAAAAGACAAAGGAGGTCTTGCAATCCCAAATATAATTTTACTACTCTTTAGTGCAAATAGCTCAATTTACAGCATATCATAACTATAAAGACCCTCTTGGGACCTCCATCGAAGCATCTATACTAGATCCTATATCCTTTGAGACTAACCTATGGATACCCACACGATTCTGTAAAGTGGTTTCTAATCCCATTATTAAACACTCCCTTTCTATTTGAGACAATTTCAAATTCACTGGAAACCTTATGTCCTCTTATTCCACTTTCCCTCCTATTACACACAATCCAGTGTTCGCTTCAGGATATGTCCAACCGTCTATCTTCAGATGGTGAACCTCTAAGAACAAAATTTATGACCTAATATCATTCACAAATGTTTTAGACCTCTCTGCTATGAAAACATTACACAACAAACCTTCTCTGGAAATCTCCAGATATCCCCAAATTAAGAATTTCATAACCCGTTATTAGCTCTTCTTCACTTCGAACTCTAACCCCTTTTGAAAAATTATGTTTATGTAACGCCCACCTAGTTAGCTAGGGGGAGCTAGTGTGCAATTGATAGAGAGGAGGACTGAGGAGCATTCTGGGTGTAACAGTCAGATGATCAAATTATGGTCAGGAGCTGAGAGTCTCTGCAGGCCAGTCCCTCTGCTCTAGTGCTTTGGAGGAAGGCCTAGAGGCAGTGGGTGGATCTGAGGAATGGCTGGCTTGCACTCTTGAGGGATCCTAGCCAATCCCCAACAGAAGGCTTGGCAAGGGGCTGAGACACCCTTAAAAGTGGTGGAGCCTGCTCAGTGTCAGGGAGTGTTTGGGTAGAAGAAAGTAAAGAATATGTGAGGCTGAAGGCAGGAGGCTGCTAGGAGGCCTAGTGGGATGGGTCCTACCTGCAGACCTGGAGATGGAAAGGAGGAGAGCTCAGAGCTCACTGGCCCCCAGAGCGAGGACCACCTGTATGGCAGGGAAGAAGTGGCCCGGATGATAGGACGGGTAGCAGCCACAAACCCACCAGCAGTACAGGAGAGGATCTGAATGAGTATACCTTCACCTCCCTGGGCAGATAGAAGAATGAGCACTCTGGTGGGAAACCAGATTAGCAACCTACCAGTGACTGTTCATCTCTTCAAGTGACTGGAACCAGATCCCCTGTTCAGGGATACCTCCAGATTGCTGGGTGAAGAGGAGAAGTCCATATGGGATTTGGGGTGGTACATTAGGAGATGCTGGCTAGCTCTTCAATAGAGAATGTGTTGCGGTGAAGGTTTGTAAATAGTTCCAGCAAATTGTCCTCAGTTCATCAGTACCCTTGGGGCATCCTGTACACCCCCAACCCTATCCCAATTCAAATCTCCTAAATAAAAAAACAACAAAACCAAAGCTCAAGGACTGATTTCTGATTCTGGATGCAAGTCTTTGTGAAGATGTGTGATGCCTGGCTGTCCAGGACTATAGGGCGACCCAAATCTTTTAGCGACTCCTAAGGGGGTAGTGCTAAATTTACATGATCCTAATGTTAAAGGCCTTATCACCATAATTTAGACATCCATCCTTGGAAAATGGGTCTCCTACCCACATTCATATATGATAAAATGTGAGGAAGATCTAGGTGAAAAGGTTAGGGGAAAAGGAATGGCACCATATTTCGCATACCACTGCACGTTGTTCATTTAATACAACAGCAATTGAATGTTATTATAAATTAATGATGGGTTGGCATATGGTTTCCTAACGTCTGACTAAAATGAATTCTTAAATCTCTGATAAATGTTTCCGAGGCTGCCAAACAACCGGCACACTCCTACACATCTGGTGGGATTGCCCCAAAATTAACATTTTTCTGGATTAAAGATTACCGAATAATACATAACTGTACACTATTGGGCAAAAGATTACAAAAAAAAACCCAAAGGAGGCATTGCTAAATTTGAAAAATGCCCAATTGCACTGACAAATTCCTTCTTCTAACATTCTTATTCACTGCAGCCAAACAAACGTTACGAAAAGTCGGTGGTCCTCCTGACCTACTTCTACCTTAGTTAAGATAATGTGGTATATGACCAATGAAAAATTTCCTGCCATTCTTCATGATAAAACCCATAAATCTGAGAAAATCTGGTCTCCTTAAGATTGAGTCATACCTCCAACGAGACTTTGATAAATCATTGTTACACTTGTGATCTAATTACCTGCTCCTATTAGATGTTCATCCTCTTGGTCCTCATTCCTTACTTCCTCTCTGGCTCTTTCCTTCTTTTCTCTTTTCCCTTCCACCTTCATCTCTACACCACGATAGTATAATGATGGTTATACCTTAAAAATGATTCTATATTTCTCTATATTATTATTGCTAGATTGCACCTAGTCGTATGCTGAGAGATTCATTCATACCAGTCTATTGTTATTGGATGATATTCTTGCCTGGTTGGGGTTGCCTATGTGGGTTGTAAACTCAGCTAGTCAAAGCAGAAATGTAATTTTACAAATATCGGGCTCATGGCAAATCTACACAACTGCTGGGGATTGCTGCAACTTTCTCTCTGTCCCTCTTTCTCTCTATATATAACAATATATATAACAATTATACATTTTACAACTTTTCCCACAGAAAAAAAAAAGTTATTCTACCTTTGTACTTGTGTGGGACACATGTGCATACATTTGTATCTTTGCTCCCAAGCCTGTTCATACCTCCTCATGAACATGACCTTCCTGAGCTGATCCATATCAGTAAAAAAAAACCAGGACAAATGCAGGTACTTACACTCCTTGAATTTAAACAATACATTTAATGTATTACTAATTGAAGAGATGCATTATTTTGTGTCTCTTGGAATACGTTCATGTATTTTGCGCAACAACTACATCAACCAGTAGATGGCAGTGTTTGTAAATTGGTATCTGCATATTTGACTATACTCTATGTCTTCTTCCTGAATAAAGTTCCTGTTTCCTGATTGCACAGAGAAGCAGAACATAAACACACATGGACTGTGCACTGTCTGTTCTGTAGGGCTATATATAGAATTTCTAACAGTGTTTGTTATATCTGCCTGCAGCTTATATTTAAAGCCCACCCAGGAGGGTGAGGGGTTTAAGGGGGAACTTGTTGCTTTGCCCTGCATTGGTAAAGCACAGGATCACTTTAAATAAGATGACTATTTCTAGAGATAGTGGGGGAAACCTTTGTAGCCCATAACTAGTGAAAAGTCTTCTATCACCTATAGGCAAAAGCCTGCTGTGGATTATTGTACATTCCTCACTGGGTTGACCCTTTGCTGAGGGATTAAGGCCTGATTCACACCTATGCAGTTTGCGTTTGATCCGTTCTGTAGTGCTTTTTATGTTTTTTGCACATTACTTTTTTACATATTTTTCAGGTTTTTTGATACGTATTGTGCTTTGATGCTTTTTTTGGCCAATTTGTTGATCAGATTTAAATTGCAAAACGCATCAAAAATGCACTACATATGTTTTCTGCAGCATCGCCATTGAAGTCTATTGATCCAAAAATGTAACATTTTTGCATTTAAAAAAGTCCCTGATCCTTTCTAAAACCGCAGCGGCTGAAAATAGATATGAACGCGTCCCATAGGAAAACCATGTTAAATGGACTGTAGTGCATTTCTGCAAAAAGCATTGGTGTGAACTAGGCCTAAGCCATACCAGTCTGTTTTTTTTATCTCCTGTCCTCAATACACTGATCTTTTCATTTTCTGCTGCACAGACATGATTGCTATATTGCATAGTGGATTGTGCACTGACTAGGGATGCCACTGCTGAGTTCTGGGAAATAACTCTTTTTTAATTTGTTTAAAGAACACAGTCATACTACACAGTATGTGAAAATGTCTTCCTTTATAAAGAATGGTCACAGATTTGTCAGTTCAAACTTTTCCTGGAACACTTCTAAAAATGAATAATTTTTTTTAGCAACACACATTCTCATACAAACATATCTCCTGTTGGTTATCCCTGCCTTGTAAGGCCATGCAGAAATATTGTCCATGAACACAGTGTAGAACGCAGTGCCTGTACTTGTGCTTCTCAGTCAGCATTGCTGTTCGCTCCCCTGCCAGCGGGTGGTGCTTCAGCGCTCACTGGCGGTCTTCTTTACCTCTGGATGATTGTTGAAGAAAGTCAGAAATGGGATGACTTGTGAAGGGGTCTTCAGCACACCATGCTCCAGATCTATGCAGCTCTGAGAAAGTCAAGGGAATCATCATTCATAACAAACAAGCTCAGGGGCGGACTGGCAACTCATAGGGCCCCCGGCAATAGGGGATCATGGGGCCCCTGTGTCCTTGCCCAAACTCAAAAAAGCCTATGAAAAAGGTACCAGGGGCATCTCATGGTGCCCCCTACTGACCCCGGGCCCTCGGGCAGTGCCCGAGTTTCCAAATGGTCACCCCCCCCTGAACAAGCTCCATCTTTTGTCATTAAAAAGTCATCATTGGGTAAGTTTGCCCAGGCTGAGATGATGTCATCAGTCTGCTGCAGACAGGAGAAAGCATTTCCCCAGTCTCTTTTCCCTAATGATCAGGCTGTAACATTGTTACTTTGTAGCAAATCACAAGTTGAGAGGCTGAAGCAGGGGCCGACTTGTGTCAGACAATTGTGAACAGAGCCAAGAACTGCACAGGCAAAGGATTCACATGACTGTGTCATCTCTGTGCCAGCACTTTAGTCCAGGAGGTGAATGGTGTCCGAACAAAGGTGGCTCTGGCCTTTTGGAGAGGAAAGGAGTTAATGGCATTGTCGAAGCGAGAGGGGGAGGGGAATTGTACTACTGTGATCTCTGTGAGAGGTAATAAATACCTGAAAATATTACAATCACTTAAGATGAAAAAAATGTATGGGTGGTATCTGGGTGGTATGTATATGTTTTTAAAGTGTTACTAAACCCAGGACCCTGCATTCACTATATCTGGTCTCCCACAGTACACAGAACATGGAAGTGCAATTATTTAATAAATATAAACTGCTAAATACCTTTTCTCACCAGCAGTATATAGCAGTCCTGTGACTTCTATCAGTGTCCAGCAGAGCACTGATTAAAGTTTGTAGGATGAGTTTTCATTCTCCCCTGATTGTCCTATGAGGCTGCAGGACCCCTGACCCTCTGTCTGAACAGTGCTGATTGGCCCTGTGCTAATCACATGCATCCGCCCAAGGAAAAAAAAAAAACCTAGCAATACACACCAAACTGAGTATGTGCACACTTGCCCCCCAAGGCTCTATTCTATCAGCAGATGGATTGGGGACAGTAGAAGAAGGAGAGGATCAGAGAAGACAGTATCAAACAGCCATTTTACACACTATTGAGGATTAACCCCTTAGGTTCCACAGTGAGTATAACAAACATGATTACTGCATATACAGACTGATTTTACTGTTGTGGGTTTAGTAACACTTTAAGTCGTTATGTGTGATATAGTGATAGAAATATGGTAAAGCAAGCCTGAAAAAATTATTTAAAAGTAACAGCGTTCAAGACAAAGCCCAGACAGTGTTGCACCCTACAGTCATGGATGGGAAATGCAGGACATACCTTGAGTTTTACTAGTGTGTCCAGACCGATGCTGAATTCTGCACTGCTGTCATCTGTTGGGAGGAAAAAAAAAAAACATTCCACTGCAAATTTCCAACCAAAAGTTTAGGGTAACAATGTATAAATCTCCGTGATCAGTGGTCTGCTGCTATTGCCTACACCGTGTCAGTATATACTACTCACTGTCATACTGTCACTTCTATATTCCATTCATGGGAAGAAACAGGAAGCTAATGTGTAGAAAGAATAAAGTAGCAATTTAATTGTCTGGGGGCCCATTCACACTTGTGAGTTGTGGCAACATGCTCTTCATTGTAAATGGCACCTCATCACATTGCACAGTAGAGCACAATGTACTGCAGCCCATCACAACCCATACAAATCATATACTGTCTGTTCTGGGCCATTGAATGGGCTGCCGTATTGCAAAACACATCAACACATGCCATAATGTGCATTGGAACACTTAAGTGTGAGGGCCCCAAGGGTACCTGTCTTCCATCTTCATAAGGCATTCCATGAAGACATCTTATCTCGTGAGAATTGGAATTCTTCATTCTGATTTCTGTAAATGTCATCATTAGATAACATGGCATGTAACAACCCCTGCCCCCCCCCCCCCCCCCCCCCCCCCAGATTCTGTACAGTTGTGCCACAATGCAAAAAGCATGCTGATAAGAGCAGGTCCGGTGCTAGACTATTTTGCACCCTAGGCAAGACCAGCTATTTGCACTCTCCCACCCCCAAAAAAAAAATTAAATAGATAAATAAAAATTAAAAACAGTAGAAAATATTAAATCAACAAAACATGAAACTGCTAAATTTCTTCTAATTTGCAAAAATAAGTGCCATAAGATGCCACCAGTACCAATATCAAGGACAAAATATATATTAACCAAATATAAATTAACTGTATTAACCAATCAAACAGAGAAACAAACAAAAAAAAAAAGAGACAGAGTTACAAAACTCCACAGCGATCAGCAGCCGCCAGCTGGCTTGCAGTAAGGGACTGAGTCTGAGAGGAACACTGGAAGGAGCGGCAGCTCAGGTGCTACACTGGTCCCAGACACCCGGCATCTTCCTTTGTCCTTTCTTCCTCCCCCTCTGCTGCCCCTCCCTTCAGCTGAAGGATCGTTTATCATATGGTGGTGTCCCACACGATCAATCAGCATCCGCTCCCCACACCCTGACCATTGTCCACCCCCCTCCTCCATGACCCGCCATCCTCCTAGGCTCGGCTCACTTCTGACGGTTCCTGCTAGATAGAACAGTGCTGTGTGGCAGAGCTGTGTTAATCACAGAACTGGATGGACAGAAATACACATTTATTTGCCGGTAAAACTGATCCCCTATTTGTATTAAATCTGTATAATTAGCTGCTTGCCTGGATATCAGCTCTAATATGGAGACTACCATCGCTGCTCTTCTTCTATAAATGCTAGTTGCCTGGCTGCCAATTGCTGTAAGATGCAGATCCATTGATTTCAAATGTTTACTAAGTCACTGACACCCGCATCAAGTATGCATCAAGTAAAGGCAGAGCAAGGCAAGGACTCCTGACTTGCATGCTGATCTCAGGTCAGGAAATAAGGAAATCATTAGACTGGCACAACAGCCAGTCAACTAGCATTTTTTATTGGTCAGGAACTGAAGTCTCTTTAATTCTTTGATTTCTAGTAACAACATTTTCAGGCAGAGTGCCCCTGCCGCCACTGAAAATACAAAAGCTACTGAGAGCAATGTAAGTGGGACAGTCAAATGTAAATCATTACCACTCTGGAAAGACAAGTCTCTATATAGAGTCACCCCGTGACGCCACTGGCTCCGACTCAGGAGAGGGACTCAGTGGCAATGCATCTAAACTGTACACAATCCTGTTATGATAACAGACATTTGTCTCAATTCAGAGCTAACATGCCAGGATAAGTATACTGTAATTATTTTTAAAAAGTGAGTTATTTTTAGCTGAGGCCAATGAGATGTGAACATTACAGACATATGGCTGAATTAGAGTGCCTATTGTGTTTCCATTACGTGCTTAGGAGTGACCCGTCATGATGGGTGCACTAACCCCTTCATGGCCACAGGCATTCTGTTCCTTCTTGATCAGAATGATGGCAGTTATCTGTCAATGAACTGTGTATATTTTACATGTAGTTTACATATATGAAAGTCTCATGACAATTTCTTTGGATGCAATATGAAAGGGTCAGACCAGGGGTAGGCAACCCTGGAGAGGTGGAGATCTATCTGAACCACATAGAAGACATCAATGATCATCAGTGTACAGCATGCTTTAAGGATATAACAAGGCCACATTAAAAAATAAGAAAAGTTTGAAGAGTTCAGGGGTCCTTAGTAAGTAACACAGAGTTCAAAGGTCAGGAGTAAGGACCGCAGAGTGCAGGGGTCAGAAGTAATGCACAGTTCAGAGGTCAAGCGTAAGTGATAGTGCCAGAGTGACAGAGGTCAGGAGTATGTAATGCAGAGTTTAGTGGTAGGAAATAAGTAATGCAGAGTTCAGAGGCTGGGAGTAAGTAAAGCAGAGTGCTGGGGTCAGTAGTAAGTAATGCACAGTTCAGAGGTCAAGCATAAGTGAGAGTGACAGAGGTCAGGAGTATGCAATGCAGAGTTTAGGGGTAGGAAGAAAGTAATGCAGAGTTCAGAGGTCAGAAGTAAGTAAAGCAGAGTGCTGGGGTCAGTAGTAAGTAATGCACAGTTCAGAGGTCAAGCGTAAGTGATAGTGACAGAGGTCAGGAGTATGTAATGCAGAGTTCAGGGGTCCTTATTAAGTAACACAGAGTTCAAAGGTCAGGAGTAAGGACCGCAGAGTGCAGGGGTCAGTAGTAAGTAATGCACAGTTCAGAGGTCAAGCATAAGTGATAGTGCCAGAGTGACAGAGGTCAGGAGTATGTAATGCAGAGTTTAGGGGTAGGAAGTAAGTAATGCAGAGCTCAGAGGTCAGGAGTAAGTAAAGCAGAGTTCAGGGGTGAGGAGCACTACAAACTTCAGAGGTCAGAAGTAACCAATGCAGAGTGTAGGTGTCAGTAGTGTTAAACATACAGTTTTGAAGACAGGAGTAGTTAATGCACAATGTAGGGGTCAGTAGTTGATAATGCAGAGTTCAGAGGTTAGGAGTAAGAGACGCAGAGTGCAGGTGTCAGTAGTAAGTAATGCACAGTTCAGATATCAGGCATAAGTGACAGTGCAAGATCAGGAGTATGTAATAGAGAGTTTAGGGGTAGGAAGTAAATAATGCAGAGTTCAGAGGTCATGAGTAAGAAAAAGAAGAGTTAAGGGGTGAGGAGCACTACAAAGTTCAGAGGTCAGAAGTAAGCAGCATAGAGTGTAGTTGTCAGTAGTAAGAAACATAGATTTCAGAAGTCTAGTGTAGTTAACGCAGAGTGCAGGTGTCCATAGTTATTACTGCAGAATTCACAGGTTAGGAGTAAGGAATGCAGGGTACAGGGGTCAGTAGTAAGTAATGCACACATCGGAGGTAAGGAATAAGTAATGCAGTGCAGAGTTCAGGAGTATGTAATGCAGAATTTAGGGGCAGAAGTTAATACAGAGTTCAGAATACAGGGGTCAAGAGTAAATAATGCAGAGGTCAGGAGTAAGTAACACAGAGTGCAGAGGTAGGGAGTCAATAATTAAGAATGTAGGGGTCAGCAGTATGTAACAAAGATGCAGCGGTCAGTAGTAAATAACACAGAATGCAGGGGTCAGTAGTACGTAATGCCAAGGGCAGGGATCAGTAGTATGTAATGCAGAGTTCAAATGTAAGCGGACATAATGCAGATTGCCGGGGTCAGTGGTATCCAGCACAGAATTCAGAGGTTTGCAGTAGGTAATGCAAAGTGCAGTAGTACAACAAAGTACAAATGCCCCCTCCCTCTGTAATATTTGCTCTCCAGATCTCAGATGCTGCGACACCCAGCAGAGTGAGTAAAGTCCTCCTGGGTCTCACTTTGGATGTGTCATATAATATATCAGAGCCAAGAAGGAGCCTAGGACTGTATTCCATTGGGAAATTTCCCCAATAGGACACAGCAAAAAATAACCTAATAGAAGTTTTGAAAATGAACTCCGAGATAAGCAAATATTGTTTAAATACTTGTGTTCCTAATGGAATCTTGGTGTGCTTTGTGTATTTCTTGTCATTTTCTTTGTGATTTGTGCAGTAATCCAGTGTGAAACTTTGTCTCTGTGTAGGAGCTTCCTGTAAGAACGACCAGTCACTGGTGCTCTCTTGACTTGTGCAGGATGACTAGTCTTGTCTCCGCCCTCTCCTGTAGTTTTCTGCAGGCAGCCTGTAATAGGTGGGCCTGTTGGATCCCCCTAACAGCTATGCTTCCCACACAGGTTATGAACAGCACAGTGATGATGTCACTGCTATTTTTTACAAGATAATATCCAAGATTGCAAAAGCATTTGGTGCACACAAAGTGAATTTAAATCCTCTGTGGATATTAAGGAATACATTTAAACAAAAGATTTTGTGCATGGAGATTTAAGTAGATCCTAACTAGATCCTTCTAAAAACACTATGTTATCTGCATGACTCACTTCCCTGGAACATGCAAAGGTAGAGGGGTTGTTTCCACATTTTAGTAAGCAAATCATTCCTTTTTTGTTCCTGGGACAACTGTATATCCAGAGCTACTAGTGTACAGCACAAATACTGTACACAGGGCTGTAGATAAGGGGGTACCACCAGTCCTTCTGTACGGGGCCCAGGCCAGCAGAGGGGCCCAGGCAGCTGGGTGAATTGGATGTGGGCAGAAAGGGGGATCGGTGTGGCGGGGGCAATTACTGGAACCAATCCCCTGTATGTCTCTCTGCAGCAGCTAAAAGCTGGCTTCTTCTCTGGCTTTCAGCTGCTGCAGAGAGACATACAGGGGATTGGTTCCAGTAATACCCCCTACCACCCTCCCTATGCACCATACGTTTCTGCATGCTGCCCAGGCCCCCCCTGTGTGCCCACACCCCACAGATCTGTCAGCTTCCCTCCTCTCCTTTCCAATGGCAACTGTAAGCACACAAAAGGATGGAGAGTGGGGGAAGGGTGCGGTAAATATGTCACAATTACCAGCCCCTTCCTTTCCTTAATGAACACAATGAGTGATTGGTACCAATCGCTCACTGTGTGCATTCATAACTAAAGCATAGTCAACTGCTTTTTGTTATTTTTGGGGGGAGGGGGGCCTGTCAGGTTGGCTGTATGGGACCCTGTGGTTTCTAACAGCAACCCTAACTGTACAACCCAATATTATAAAAGCCATTTATTCCAAAACTATATACAGCTGTTTCAGACTTTTTGGTCATCATCAGTGCAGTGCATGAAAACAATTACCTCTATGGAGGAGGGCTTTGGGGACCTAGACAAAGAGGAATGATTTGAATGTCCAAACCGACTATCTTAAAATGAGGAGTAAACCTCTTTTATTTTTGTGTGAAGGAATTTTTTTTTTTCATCCACCTCATGTTACCTTGTCTGCTCTTACTTACTTCTAAGGCTTGTCATATGCTATACAATCCTAGCGAACAGCCATTTTTAGATTTACAAAAACATTTAAACTGAAGACACACCCAAACTATTCATTCAATTTGCATCAAATCAAGCAGGCCCTTGCACTACATAGATCAGTGGTTATCAACGTAAATAGACTCTGCCTGACCCAAGATGGCTGCCAAAGTCACATGGGGCAGCAGCAGCCAATCAGATAGCTTTCCCAGTGACCCAGGAAACCATAAACAAGCCATATTTCTTCTGACTTCCTTTCCCTCTGCAATGCCGCTGTGGTTGAGTGCTACCTGCGCCTGCCTACACACATACAATATTTATTATATAGTATGTATTGTTACAAAAAACTGTCAAAAACTGAAGACTTACAAGAGGAGATGGTCATAGACTGTGCTATAGAAGATATTGGAGGCTGGAGCAGGGACGGACTGACAACTCATGGGGCCCCCCGGGCAATAGGGGATCATGGGGCCCCTGTGTCCTTGCCCAAACTCAAAAAAGCCTATGAAAAAGTTACCCGGGGCATCTCATTGGGCCCCCTACTGACCTGCATGGCAAACACCAAGGAGCTGCAGGTTGGGCACCAGGGACATAGATGATGGTTGATCTAAAAAGATTGTACAAGAAGATTGTATTAGTGCAATTTTAGTAGAAGTTTGGCATCTCTCTCTGACTCCCACGTCCCACCACGTATCTTGGTTTGTGTTGCTCTGTCATGTTATAATGCCCTGTGTGATCATTCCATCTGTTTCTAGAATCTGTCTGCCATTCTGTTGCTAGAATCTGTCATTGTCTTACCAACAATTACAGCACTGCTTGTCAGTTTCTCATTTCCTACTTCGATGTCCACCGTCACCCTCCCCCTGAGGGTCACTTAACATCTGCAGCCTGAAAATCAAACTTTTAATAGTTAATGCCATAAAACTGCAAGCTAGATAAAACTGTAAAATGTGTACATGCACATATAGTAGTGTAGCCAGTAAAATTTTGATTCTTAAGCCGGCCACACATGGGTCGACTTCCGAAAGAATTTTCTTTTGAAAATCTTTTCTAAGAAATTTCGTTCAAATTTCACACCATTAGTGGGCCACAGCAATGGATGATTTTCAAGTGACCATCGAACTTGAGTGATCCGGCCTGTTGGAAATTTTTTGAAAAATGAACTAATTTCTAATCAATGATGGGAGAATCGTGCGAGAAATCGAATCGAAAAAGAAACGAGAATGAGCTGTAACCTGGAAAGAAGTGAAAATTCTTGGCCACGAACATTCTTTTCTGTAGCAACATGAGGTGAAATTAAAGGCTTGGTTGGTCGAATTTCGAAATCAATGGTGGCACCAACGATTACAAAATGCACAAAATTTGGGATTTTCTAAAGAAAATTAGTTTGGAATTCGACCCATGTATGGCCTGCATTAGCCATGTCTGAGGATCTGTCACATTTTGGGATGGCTGCCTGCATCGGTATCTTCCAGGTTCTGTAGATTAACCACATTCCTTCTGCCTTGTAGCAGAAATACTGCTACAGGGTGGCAGGGTGTGCAAAATCACATTATATATATATACATTTACATATACGTATACATTTTGCTATTTGCGGCCTCGGCTGTCAATCACTCACCGAGTATTCCCAACGGGGGGGGGGAGGGATTACTGTATGTAAACAATTCATTTCTCTCCCCTGTCAGCTCCTGCACACTGCTTCGTACGGCTCTGCATAGCAGAGCCGTACGAAGCAGTGTGCTTACAGTTAAAATCACAGACACAGTTTATTATTATTATTATTATACAGTATTTAAAAAGCGCCAATAGTTCGCTCAGCGCTGTACATTACAAAGGGGGACAGAACATGTGACAGAACAACAACAATACAATGCAAAACATGAGGGGATCGAGGGCCCTGCTCTTTCGAGCTTACAATCTAGGAGGGAGGGGATGGTGGCACAGGAGGAGATAGCTGTGGGGGATGGGGTGGTAGGAAGAGTGTAGGAGGTTGGCAAGTTAGGGGGGGGTGGAGTAGGCTTCCCTGAAGAGATGGGTTTTCAGGGTGCACCTAAAGGAGAGGAGAGTAGGTGATAATCTGATGGGTTGGGGCAGGGAGTTCCAGAGGATGGGTGACACCCTGGAGAAGTCCTGGAGGCGGGCATGGGAGGAGGAGACCAGGGAACTAGAGAGAAGGAGGTCTTGTGAGGAGCGGAGTGTGCGTGCTGGGCGGGCGGTACTTGGATATTAGGTCGGTGATGTAGTTCGGGGCAGTATGGTGGACAGCTTTGTATGTCAGTGTTAGGATTTTGAATTTGATCCGTTGCGCAATTGGAAGACAGTGGAGGGATTGGCAGAGGGGGGTGGCGGAAATGGAGCGGTTGGAAAGGTGAATGAGTCTGGCAGCCGTATTCAGGATGGACTGAAGCGGGGATAGCCAGCAGCGAGGCAGGCCAGTGAGGAGGGAGTTGCAGTAGTCGAGTCGTGATATGATGAGGGAGTGGATGAGCTGTTTAGTGGTTTCTGGAGTTAGGAACGTGCGGATTTTGGCAATGTTGCGGAGGTGGAGTCTGCACGAGTTTGTTAAAGATTGGACTTGGGGCTGGAAGGATAGGTTGGAGTCCAGAATGACACCAAGTACTCTGGCCTGCGGGGTGGGTTTGATGGTGGCGTTGTTCGATGTGATAGAGAAGTCAATGGGGGGGGGGGGTGTCCGGGCTGGGGGGAAGACAAGAAACTCGGTTTTTGGAGAGGTTCAGTTTAAGGAAGTGGAGCGACATCCAGTCTGATATGTCGCTCAGTAGGTGTGTGATTCGGGCAGAGACCGAGGGGGTGGGTTGGGGGGTTGAGAGATAGATTTGTGTGTCGTTGGCATATAGGTGGTAGTTGAAGCCGTGAGAGTGTATGAGTTGGCCAAGGGAAGAGGTGTAGATGGAGAAGAGAAGGGGCCCGAGGACAGAGCCTTGAGGGACCCCAACAGAGAGGGGGAGTGAGGGGGAGGTGGTAGCATTATAGCTGAACGCTGAAAGAGCGTTGTGACAGGTAGGATGAGAGCCAGGAGAGAGCAGAATCTCTGAGGCCAAGGGAGTGTAGTTTTTTGAGGAGGAGGGGGTGGGCGACTGTGTCCAAGGCCGCAGAGAGGTCAAGGAGTAGGAGCAGTGAATAGTGGCAGTTAGCAGGTCGTTGGAGAGTTTGAGTAAGGCAGTTTCGGTGGAGTGAAGGGGACGGATGCCGGACTGTAGGGGATCGAGGAGGTTGTTGTCGTTGAGGTGAGAGCTTAGGCGGGTGTAGACTAGGCGCTCGAGGTGTTTGGATGTAAATGGGAGCAGGGAGGTGAGTCTGAGGTTGTTGGGGTCATTGGGGTCCAGGGAGGGCTTTTTAAGTATGGGGGTGATGTGTGCATGTTTCAGAGGGGAGGGGAAAGTTTACTATGAAACAGATCACAGTTAACTCTTTTATCACCCCAAATGTTAACCCCTTCCTGCCCAGTGCCATTAGTACAGTGTCAGTGCTTTTTATTAGCACTGATCACTTTATTGCTGTCACTGGGGATGTCAGTGACACCAAGTCAGTTCCACCCAGTGTGAAATCGACGCCATTACTAGTAAAAATATAAAAAATATAAAAAATTCCAGTATCTATATGGCCATTTGTAGATGCTATAACTTTCACGCAAACCAATGTAGCAGAATACATTTTGGCCTAAATTTATGGCGAAATTTGATTTTTTTTATTTTTTTACTGGATATGTTAAATAGCAAAAAGTCAAAAATATTGTTTTTTCTCAAAATTGTCATTTTTTTTGGCGATCAAAGAAAGCTCAATTTGTGGGAAAAAAGGGCGTAAATTTAATTTGGGTGCAGTGTTGCATGATCACGCAATTGTCAGTTAAAGTAACGCAGCGCCGTATCGCAAAAAATGACCTGGTCAGGAAGGAGGGTAAATCCTCTGGAGGGCAAGTGGGAAGGCTCTGTTTGCAAACTGCATTACCACCAATGACCAACAGGTCACCAGCAATGTTTTTAGCTGTATCCAGCAGGTTGGTTTGTAAAAATCACCTGATTGATAGTAACCAAGTAACTATCCATTAGTGTGAGACCATGGTTGTCAGTGACAGCACAGTCACGGAGAGCACACAGGTGCATGATCCTAATTCTGAAATAGAAAGTAGATAACCGTTCTCTAGGCATACGGGAGCAGTGCCTGAGAAAGTTACAGTGCAGTTTGCACTGACAAAGGGCACAAGTAGATTTCTATTTTCAATGCTGCGTCTCCTAGATTGTAAGCTCCAAGGAGCAGGGCCCTCGAACCCCTCGTGTATCGCATTGTATTGTTATTGTACTGTCTCATGTTCTGTCTCCCATTGTAATGTACAGCGCTGAGCGAAATGTTGGCGCTTTATAAATACTGTGTAATAATAATAGTAATATTAGAAAGCAAAAGGTTGATTATATGCACAACAACAAAAACAACAACCTTGTAATCACTGTGATTGGCTGCCATGTTGATCACATGCTGATGTTATGGTAATCATGCTAATTTGTTCTCCCCCATTAGTGTGAGACCTTCGCTGTCAGTGACAGTATAATCTCAGAACTAGGAGCTCACATAGGTGCATGCTCCTAATTCTAAAATGGAAAGCAGATTAACCTTCTCTCAGCATGTGGCACCGTGCCTGACAACATTAAAGTTTGCCCTAGGAAAGTGCAGCAGATGTCTATCTTAAATGCTACACTGCATATTAAAAAAGTGGAATGTTGATTAAATGCACAGCACCTCTATTGCTCCATTGCATCTAAAAGCTATTTGTTCTGTCCCACTTTCATGTTTTTTATGTGTTGCATTGAACTGCATTAGGTTGTTATTGTTGTTTTCTATGCTGACATCTAGTGGTGGTTTTGGGCCACTAAAGCTTGTTTACTAATGGGATTTTGATTTCGATCTCTGTCTCCCCTTTTTGTTTAGTGCTAGTTACTTTAGTTCTAGCTAGACCTTCTTCCATCTTCCCTCAGTCAGTGCTAGTTATTTACAGAGACAGGGCGCAAGAAAGTTATTGTCTTCTAACACTTTAAAAGTCTAGAAAAACATCCCCTGTACTGCAGTCAGCTGAAGTTGCATTAGATTCAACTTCTATGTCTTATTAAAGAGTTAAACTGCCTGTAGATAATACCAAGTCAGCAGGTGACCATACTGTGAAGACAGACTGGGTCTAAGGAGGTATGTCAATACATAAAGCAGCATTTGAAACAGAACACTATTGGTTGTAAATATTGCTAAGGAAGGAGTCATATATACTCCATATTTGTGTGTTGTTAGCGTTTCAGGTCTCAGTGATTGTTGTACCTGCTGATAAAAGTAACTATAATGTACAGTATCTCACAGAAGTGAGTACATCCCTCACATTTTTGTAAATATTTTATTCTATCTTTTCATGTGACAACACTGAAGAAATGACACTTTGCTACAATGTGACGTAGTGAGTGTACAGCTTGTATAACATGTAAATTTGCTGTCCCCTCAAAATAACTCAACACACAGCCATTAATGTCTAAACCGCTGGCAACAAAAGTGAGCACACCCCTCAGTGAAAATGTCCAAATTGGTCACAAAGTGTCAATATTTTGTGTGGCCACCATTATTTTTGCAGCACTGCCTTAACCATCTTGGGCATGGAGTTCACCAGAGCTTCATAGATTTCCACTGGAGTCCTCTTCCACTCCTCCATGACATCACGGAGCTGGTGGATGTTAGAGACCTTGCGCTCCTCCACCTTCCATTTGAGGATGCCCCACAGATGCTCAATAGGGTTTAGGTCTGGAGACATGCTTGGCCAGTCCATCACCTTTACCCTCAGCTTCTTTAGCAAGGCAGCGGTCATCTTGGAGGTGTGTTTGGGGTCGTTATCATGTTGGAATATTGCCCTGCAGCCCAGTCTCCAAAGGTAGGGGATCATGCTCTGCTTCAGTATTTCACAGTACATGTTGGCATTCATGGTTCCCTCAATGAACTGTAGCTCCCCAGTGCCGGCAACACTCATGCAGCCCCAGACCATGACACTCCCACCACCATGCTTGACTGTAGGCAAGACACACTTGTCTTTGTACTCCTCACCTGGTTGCCGCCAATCACGCTTAACACCATCTGAACCAAATCATTTTATCTTGGTGTCATCAGACCACAGGACATGGTTCCAGTAATCCATGTCCTTAGTCTGCTTGTCTTCAGCAAACTGTTTGCGGGCTTTCTTGTGCATCATCTTTAGAAGAGGCTTCCTTCTGGGATGACAGCCATTCAGACCAATTTGATGCAGTGTGCGGCGTATGGTCTGAGCACTGACAGGCTGACCCCCCCCCCCCCCCCCCCTCAACCTCTACAGCAATGCTGGCAGCAATCCTACATCTATTTCCCAAAGACAACCTCTGGATATGACGCTGAGCACGTGCACTCAACTTCTCTGGTCAACCATGGCAAGGCCTGTTCTGAGTGGAACCTGTCCTGTTAAACCGCTGTATGGTCTTGGCCATCGTGCTGCAGCTCAGTTTCAGGGTCTTGGCAATCTTCTTATAGTCTAGGCCATCTTTATGTAGAGCAACAATTCTTTTTTTCAGATCCTCAGAGAGTTCTTTGCCATGAGGTGCCATGTTGAACTTCCAGTGACCAGTATGAAAGAGTGAGAGAGATAACACCAAATGTAACACACATACTCCCCATTCACACTTGAGACCTTATAACACTAACGAGTCACATGACACCGGGGAGGGAAAATGGCTAATTAGGCCCAATTTGGACATTTTCACTTAGGGGTGGACTCACTTTTGTTGCCAGCGGTTTAGACATTAATGGCTGTGTGTTGAGTTATTTTGAGGGGACAGAAAATTTACATGTTATACAAGCTGTACTCTCACTACTTCAGATTGTAGCAAAGTGTCGTTTCTTCAGTGTTGTCACATGAAAAGATAGAATAGAATATTTACAAAAATGTGAGGGGTGTACTCACTTCTGTGAGATACTGTGAGGGAAGGGGCTAGGCTGCTAGGATTAGGGACCGCATCTTACCGCAGTCTTTGCATGCACGATCTGGAGATGAGGTTCTCATAGCTTTCAACAGACAGCTTGCAAGAGACATCCTGCGTACACACCTAAGAGAAGAGAACAAACTTTAACATTGAGGAAAAGAATGCGTGCTTTCTAAAACAATATTGTAAAAGTGACTCTAGTCTGTTATTATAGAGATTGTAACAGGAGGAGCTGGGACCCATAAAGGTGGGTAGGAACACCCAAAACCCCTAGTTATGCAGGAACAGAGCTGGGACTTATGGAAGATCTCACAGCTGAAGGAGCCAAGACTATTTCTGCTATAGGGCGGCGCGGAAGCTGTTAATCTATATAACTAATTTGCAGTTTGTAAACTTACTTTGTGAAGATCCCCACACATTTCCTTCCTTGAATTCTGTGACACATGATCACTATGTCCTGTGAGTAGGCACTGCTGTGGCACACATTTCACAGAGCCTGCCTGCTGAGCTACAGAGGTGCTGGGAGGTGGAGTTTCAGGAGGCGGAGTCAGTAGAGGAATCACTGCTTGCAGGCAGCAAGGTACCATGGGATATGTAGTCCTTAGAAGAATAAAGTAACCAGCAGATTTCCTTTAAACACCAGTGTTGAGTGTGACTTCTAGTTAAAAGTTAGCTACAGCCAAAACTTTTTCATTTAGTTTTAGATAAAACAGAGAAGGGTTAGAGCCTCTGACAGGTTTTTATTACTGTTTTTCTGTGGGAGTTCCCCCCCACTTCCTGCCATGAATTACATTATCTTGTCAGTGGGGACACAAACAAAAAGAAAAAGCACAGTTTTAGCAGAGCGGGGGAGGGATAGATATTTCTGACAATGTTTTTATTGGTTGTCTGTGCCTTCCTGTCCCATTGACACCTAGTCCTTCATTTCTTCTATGGATGTCAACAGGTAAGGAAGTAAGGGAAGATCTCTCTAATTAGTTCACAAACAAATAAAACCAGACAGAAAATTTAAAGCATAAATGTTCTGTCTTGGCATCGGTTGTACTTGTGGCGAGATTCGTTTAGACCCAGTCTGTCAGAATGTGTGCAGCAAGTTGAATGATCGCCTTAACAGATAGTTTACTCAATGAATAACAACTTCAGAGGTATTTTCCAATGCTTCTTTATGCTTCATGGTAACAAAGGTATGAACATAAAGGTGTTTTCATAGGTAAATTTCCAGTGCTGTCACATAGCCTCCTCATTCTACAGCATCTTGATAACCACTAAACTAAAATGGTGTTACAACAGGAAATGAAGGTGGAAGCAACCAACTAGTCAGAAACAGCAGGGGTGTGTGGATGATACCAAATAACATTATAACATAACATGTAAATAACAACTGCTAAACAGTAAAGCTGCGTGGCAGCACAATAAATGCTTTCATTTAAAAATTCTTCTCAATAACCACAAAGGAAGTAAATTCACTTGTGTAACCAAAAATGTTTTGGAAAGCCAGATATTATTTTTTGAAGGTAGCTGTGACTGTGCTGCACATAGCCTGGGCAGAAAGGAGAGCTGTGGGAGGGACCCAGCAGGCTCCACCCACTACAATCTGCAGAAAACAACAGGAGGGGGCGGAGACAAGACCAGTCACCCTGCACAAGGAGAGAGAGAAGCAGTGAGCAGTCTTTAATACAGGAAGCTCCTGCACAGAGGTAGTTTCAAACTGGATTACTGCACAGATCTGGAAGAAATACACAAAGCACACCAAGACTTAAGCAAGAATACACATGACTCTTGTATTTAGACATTATTTGCTTATCCTGTATTTCAGCTTTAACTCTTCCCCTCTTTATCCACTGCCAAAAAAGTAAAATTGACTGGAACTAAAGTGTTACTAAACCCCGGACCCTGCATTCACTATATCTGGTCTCCCACAGTACACAGAACATGGAAATGCAATTATTTTAATAAATATAAAACTGCTAAATACCTTTTCTCATCAGCAGTTAGAGCGGTCTTGTGACTTCTATCAGTGTTCAGCAGAGCACTGGTTAAAGCTTGTAGGAGGAGTTTTCTTTCTGCTCTAGGAGGATGCAGGACCCCTGACCCTCTGTCTGGACAGTGCTGATTGGCCCTGTGCTGATCACATGCACCCTCCCAAGAAAAAAAAAACCTTTCTAGCAATACACACCAAACTGAGCATGTGCTCAGGGTTCAGTCTTTATCAGGTGGTCATTTCAAGACTGATTTTACTGTTGTGGGTTTAGTAACACTTTAAGCTTTAAATATTCCAGTAGGGATGGCGGGGAGTGCTGCAGTTGTGTGTTTGAGTGAATTGTGTATTGTCTCACCTTACAACTAATAAGCAGGCTGCGTTTTGCCCAGCTCCCTGGTGTCTCCGTAGAGGTATCAGGAGCTGTTGGCTGGTCCTGGACCGTATTAGAGTCTTCATCAATCCTCTCTCCTACTGATTCATTGGTAGAAAGATTGCAGCCCCAGGTTGCATAGGTGGAGGGACGGTGCCAAGCTGCTGGTCTCTTTTATAGGGCTCCCACCTAGAAGACGCCTCTGGATCACACTGTGAGGTTGCTGCAGCCAGAAACAAAGACCCCCCCTTCAGTAGTGACAGCATGCAGGTTTTACATTGGTTTCTATTTACAGAGTACAATGTATTAATTTGCCACTTAATTCTCTGCACTCCTCATCTGCCATTAACAAGAAGCTTGCATCTAAATCAAAAACATATTCTCTATGGCATGGCAGGGTAGTTCAGATCATTACAAATAACCTTTAACTAATTAACAATTTTGTCTCAGCTTCTAAAGCCTGGATTGCTGTTATGAAATCAGCTAATCTAAAATAAATGACCAGAACCATTGTTTTTAGTCTGCCCTACATTTACCACTTGCCCTCCGGAGGATTTACCCCCCTTCCCGACCAGGCCATTTTTTGCGTTACGGCGCTGTGTTACTTTAACTGACAATTGCGCGGTCATGCAACACTGCACCCAAATGAAATTTATGTCCTTTTTTCCCACGAATTGAGCTTTCTTTCTATAGTATTTGATCGCCTGTGCATTTTTAATTTTTTGCGCTATAAAAAAAAGGCTGACAATTTTGAGAAAAAAAACTATATGACTTTTTGCTACTTAACATGTCCAGTAGAAAAAAAAATTAAAAATCAAATTTCGTCATAAATTTACACCAAAATGTATTCTGTTACATGTCTTTGCTAAAAAAAAATATCCCAATATGTGTAAATTAATTGGTTTACATGAAGGTTATAGCATTTTCAAATGGTGGTATAGATACTGGGATTTTGCTTTTTTCTACTAGTAATGGTGGCAATCAGTGACTTTTAGCGGGACTGCGGCGGACATTCTGACACTGGGGGGGGGGGGGGGGACTGACTGACTTGGTGCCACTGACATCCCCAGTGACACCAATACAGTGATCAGTGCTGAAAAAAAAAAAAAGCACTGACACTGTACTAATGACACTAGGCAGGAAGGGGTTAATATGAGGGGCAATCAAAGGGTTAACTATGTGTAGGGAGTGTGTGCTTTAATGTAAGCATACTACTCTGGATGGCTGTGCTGTGCAGAGCCATCCAAAGCAGTGTGCCTGAGCCAACAGGGAAGAAGACGGTTAGTAAACAAAACAGTCTTCTTCCCTGTTGGAGATGCTCGGTAATTAACCAGCAGGTAATTACCGGTGATTGACATATATTTATATATATATGTGATTTTGAGTACCCCTGTCACCCTGTAGCAGTATATCTGATATAGGGCGGTGGGAAAGCAGTTAAGGCAGGGCTGGTGCTTCCACTAGGCAAACTATGCAACCGCCTATGGTGCACTGCTACCTAGTGTGTGTTTCTGTGTGAGACGCTGCCACATCATAAATGATCCTTCAGCTGAGGGGAGGGGCAGCAGAGGGGAGGAAGAAAGGACAGAGGAAGATGCTGGGTGTCTGGGAAGCTGAGCTGCCGCTCCTTCCTGTGTTCCTCTCAGACCCAGTCCCTTATTGCAAGGTGGCTGGTGGCTTCTGATCACTGTCTGACTTTTATGTCTCCTGGCTGTGTGAGTGTGACCCGGCCACCCAGCCATCCATCACATGTGCAATTTGTGATTGTGAGAGTGATGACATCATCATGATCCCACAGCCTGCTCTTCTAGGGCCTGGTGATCTGTGTTAGTGTTGGTGGTGGTGTGTTGTGGCAGATCTGTCACTGTGTTGAATCTCTCAGTTCAGGTGTTCTCTTTGTGTGTGGGCTGGGCTGCCTGCTGTCACAGTGTTTTATCTCCCCCCATTTCCTGAGGAATTCCAGCCTGGGACTGGTCTTGCCTAGGGTGCAAAATAGTCTTGCATCAACCCTCTTTGAAGTTTACCCATACTTGTCTGAAACCTGCTAAGCAGCACCTAGTAGCGGGCAGGGTCAGATTTGTTCTAGAGTTCCCCTCAAGGAGCCCCAAAACACAGGATACTCTATTATACATATTTGTACTTCACTTAGGAAGACAATCCTGCTCACCCATCCTAATGATGGGCAGTCATGCCAAGTAATAGTGACATGCTGGAGGGGGTGGGGCTGAGCACTGACTTCTTGGCAAACTCAGTGTTTCCATACAGTAATAGTGCATGCTGGGTTTTTGGATTCTAGAACAGCAGTGACACTGCCTGCTGGCATCCAAAGGTATGTACAAGGATTTAGACCTGCAAACCCGAGCAGAAAAACTTCATATTTTTGGTTATTTTAAAATATAGGTCCAGAAAAAAAAACACCTTTTGTTGGATGTGCTGGGGAAGGACTAGAAACCCTGTCAGGGCTCTGTTGGAGAGATTTCTCCTTACTTTCTGTCCTGGTGACTAAACATTCACCAAACACCAGACAAGATGTCACATCACTTCCTAAAACTCAATCTATCCAAAACTGAGCTCATAATATTTCCTCCCCCACGTGCCTCTTCCCCTGATTTCTTGGTCAGGATCAATAGCACCACTAATAACATCCCGACATGCCAGAGTGCTTGGTGTAACCCTGGATTCTGAACTATTCTTTCAGGCCCACATCCAATCCCTGTCCAAATCATGCCGCCTCAACCTCCGCAACATCTCCAGAATACTCTCCTTTTTAACCAATGATACCACAAAGTTCCTAATTCACTCCCTGGTCATCTCTCGCCTCGACTACTGCAACTCCCTCCTCATTGGCTTACCTTTACATAGACTATCCCCCTCCAGTCCATCATGAATACTGCTGCCAGGCTCATCCACCTTACCAACCGTTCAATGTCCTCCACCCCTCTCTGCCAATCCCTCCACTGGCCTCCACTCAGTGTCCTCCACCCCTCTCTGCCAATCCCTCCACTGGCCTCCACTCAGTGTCCTCCACCCCTCTCTGCCAATCCCTTCACTGGCCTCCACTCAATGTCCTCCACCCCTCTATGCCAATCCCTCCACTGACCTCCAGCCCTCTATGCCAATCCCTCCATTGGGCTCCATTCAGTGTCCTTCACCCTCTCTACCAATCCCTCCACTGGCGTCCATTCAGTGTCCTCCACACCTCTCTGCCAATCCCTCCACTGGCTTCCACTCACACAACGAATAAAATTAAAAAAAACTAACAAATTACAAAGCCATCCACAACTCTGCCCCCAGCTACATCACCAACCTGGTCTCAAAATATCAACCAAACCGCTCTCTTCGATCCTCCCTAGACATGCTGCTCTCTAGTTCCTGTGTCACGTCCTCACATACTCGCCTACAGGACTTCTCCCGAGCTTCTCCCATCCTATGGAACTCCCTACCCCAATCTGTCCAGCTATCTCCAAATCTATCCACTTTTAGACGATCCCTGAAAAACTTTCTCTTTAAAGAAGCCTATCCTGCTTCTAACTAGTAAACTGCCATTTATTTCCTCCATCAGCTCATCCACCCCACAGCTATTACCTTTTGTGTCACTCAACCCTTCCTCCTAGATTGTAAGCTCTAATGAGCAGGGCCCTCTGTTTCCTCTTGTACCAAATTGTATTGTAACTGTTACGTCTACCTTCATTTTGTAAAGCGCTGCGCAAACTGTTGGCGCTATATAAATCCTGTATAATAATAATAAAAGTAAGGAAATATCTCCAACAGCAAAACTGACAGTAATAGTTTCTTCTTTAGTATTGAAGAGAAAAGGCTAGGACCCCCGTCAGATTTTTGTTCTATGGGTCCTTGTAGATTTTCCTTCACTTCCTGTCTGAGGAAAGTATTGTCAGCAGGACAGAAAGTGACTTGAAATCTCTCTAATGGAGTCCCAGATAGTAGTTAAAAAAAAGACAGCAGGGGTTCTAATCCTTCCCCACTCCATCCAGAACTTAAAAAGAAACCCTTTTAGCTGCCTTACATCTCAATTGTTGGCCTAGATCTCTATCTTGATGCTGTTATTGATATTGGTGACACAATAACCCTCCCTAGCTTGAGTTACCAAATATCCAGAAATCTATGGAGAGCCCATACACAGAAATTCAAAGATTGTCAGGAAAAGCCATAAAATCATTTTGTTTGCTTTCTTGAATTTGAGGAACAGCCGGTTGGAGCCGGTTCCCATGAAGATGATGCACTGCAAATGAATTGGTTGTCAGCCTGGCACAAAGCATGGAGCTTTCTGTTCATCACACAGCAAACTACAGAGTGATGCCAACCTGCCCAGGCACACAGCAATGATCATACTGCCAGATAATGGATCGCACTGTCCTGTGGGCTGGTCACTGATATCACCGTGATGTGTTCATGAAGAATGAAGCTGTCGGTTCATTTTTGGACAATAGTCTGAAAAAGAATTGATTTTGGTTTGGCAAAACCTGCCTTGTCTCCTTCTTTTAAGTGGAAGAAGGAGTGTTGGCAAGCCTGCCCTCACCACATGCACAGTACTACCGAGCGCCATTCCTCCATGCAGCAAAACCAGATAATACTGATCTACAATGATTCTGATTGTGAATCCTGAGACTGCAAGAAATGGCAGACTTTCACTGGCCTGATTGCTGTAGTTGCACTCTGACCCCCTACCCTGCCACAATCACCCCTTTCCACTGGCACCCTGTGATCTTCAGTAACATCCCTGAACAGTCCCTTTCCTCCTGTGTCCTGTGTCTGGGACAGTTACAACCCTGAGCAGTCCCTTTTCTCCCATATCTTGTGACTGACCTTGACACCCCTGAGCAGTCCCTTTCCTCTTGTATCCTGTGATTGACAGTTACCCCCCTGAGCAGTCCCTTTCCTCCTGTATCCTGTATATGGGTCAGTTACACAACTGAGCAATCCCTTTCCTCCTGTATCCTGTGTCTGGAACAGTGATACCCCTGAACAGTTCATTTCCTCCTGTATACTGTGTCTGGGACAGTTACCCCCCTGAGCAGTCCCTTTCCTCCTGTATCCTGTGATTGACAGTTACACCCCTGCGCAGTCCCTTTCCTCCTGTATCCTGTGTCTGGGACAGTTACACCCCTGAGCAGTCCCTTTCCTCTTGTATCCTGTGTCTGGGACAGTTACACCCCTGAGCAGTCCCTTTCTCCTGTATCTTGTGACTGACAGTTACCCCCCTGAGCAGTTCCTTTCCTCCTGTATCCTGTGATTGACGGTTACACCCCTGCGCAGTCCCTCTCCTCCTGTATCCTGTGTCTGGGACAATTACACCCCTGAGCAGTCCCTTTTCTCTTGTATTCTGTGTCTGGGACAATTACACCACTGAGCAGTCCCTTTTCTCCTGTATCTTGTAACTGACAGCGACACCCCTGAGCAGTCCCTCTCCTCCTGTATCCTGTGTCTGGGACAGTTACACCCCTGCGCAGCCCTTTCCTCTTGTGATTGACAGTTACACCACTGAGCAGCCCTTTTCTTCTGTATCCTGTGATTGACAGTTACACCCCTGAGCAGTCCCTTTCTTCCTGTATCCTGTGATTGACAGTTACACCCCTGAGCAGTCCCTTTTCTCCTGTATCTTGTGACTGACAGTTACACCCCTGAGTAGTCCCTTTCCTCCTGTATCCTGTGATTGACAGTTACACCCCTGAGCAGTCCCTTTTCTCCTGTATCTTGTGACTGACAGTTACACCCCTGAGTAGTCCCTTTCCTCCTGTATCCTGTGATTGACAGTTACACCCCTGTGCAGCCCTTTCTTCCTGTATCCTGTGTCTGGGACAGTTACACCCCTGAGCAATCCCTTTCCTCCTGTATCCTGTGATTGACAGTTACACCACTGAGCAGTCCCTTTCCTCCTGTATCCAGTGTCTGGGACAGTTACACTCCTGCACAGTCTCTTTCCTCCTGTACCCTGTGTCTGGGATAGTTACACCCTTGCATAGTCCCTTTGCTCCTGTGTCTGGGACAGTGACACCCTTGAGCAGTTCCTTTCCTCCTGTATCCTGTGATTGACAGTTACCCCCCTGAGCAGTCCCTTTCCTCCTGTATCTAGTGTCTGGGAAAGTTACACCCCTGAGCAGCCCCTCTTCTCCTGTATCTGTGTCTGGGACAGTTACACCCCTGCGTAGTCCTTTTCCTCCTGTCTCCTGTGTCTGGGACAGTTACACCCCTGCGCAGTCCCTTTCCTCCTGTATCCTGTGATTGACAGTTACACCCCTGCGCAGTCCCTTTCCTCCTGTATCTTGTGTCTGGGACAGTTACACCCCAGAGCAGTCCCTTTCCTCTTGTATTACCTGTGTCTGGGACAGTTACACCCCGAGCAGTCCCTTTCCTCCTGTATCCTGTGTCTGGGACAGTTACACCCCGTGCAGTCCCTTTCCTCTTGTATCCTGTGTCTGGGACAGTTACACCCCTGCGCAGTCCCTTTCCTGCTGTATCCTGTGTCTGGGACAGTTACACAGTTACACCTCCTGCGCAGTCCCTTTCCTCCCGTATCCTGTGTCTGGGACAGTTACCCCTGCGCAGTCCCTTTCCTCCTGTATCCTGTGTCTGGGACAGTTACACCCCTGCGCAGTCCCTTTCCTCTTGTATCCTATAACTGACAGTTACACCCCTGAGAAGTCCTGTTTCGTCCTGAATCCTTTGGCTGACAGTGACATCCCTGAACAGTCTCTTTCCTCCTGTATCCTGTGAATGACAGTGACATCCCTGAGCATTCTCTTTCCTCCTGTATCCTGTGAATGACAGTGACACCCCTGGGCAGTCCCTTTCCCCTTGCAGCTTGTGATTTCCAGTGACAGCCCTGAGTAGTCCCTTTCTTACTGCTTCTAGTGACTGATTGTGAGACCTTAGAGCTGTCCCTTTCATTGTCTATCCTGTTACTGTCAATGATACTTCTGAGAAGTCTCTTTCCTCCAGACGATAATTGTGAGAGACCCATCCAGGACAGGGGCTTTTGGAGGGGACTATGGGCTACCCTTCTACCCATTGATTATAGAGGAGACTGGGGATTTTTCAGCTTCTCCCGGTCAGTGCACGGAGGAGAGCCAGGTCCTGAAACCCTTTGACTGGCTTGGAGTATCTACTGGGATTATGCGGCCAGTAAGTCCCCAGACCAGTGGTGAGCCTGCCCTAAACATTGTGTCGGACAGATCATGCAGACGCACCTTCACCATCTGGGGATACGGAACTCTTCTTGGGCATTTTTTTTATCTTGCCCCGGCTGGTCCTTGAGAGCTGCATAATGCAGAATTTGCCCATTTTGCCCCAGCTACTACCAACTTTATTACTGACTTTTATACTATTTCCACCAAAGATGTGCCACTTGGCAACCTAAATCCGAGCTGGATGTGGGACATTTGGAAACAAGTAGTGTGAATGTACTTTATATATCTGGGGCTGTGGAACTGTTTCTGGGCATCAGGGTGGGCACGCCCTGGTTAATCAAACCTTATTGTTGACATGTTTTCCAGCACATAGACAAGGGAGGCAGAGTGGAGAATTCTTGTGATCATCACTAACCATACTGACACGACTTGTCTAGGTGCCTAGCTGTTAATTAGCTTCATGTTTAAAGGTTGCATTGTCATGTTTTTACTGGTTGTACATATTCTCTTATCTATGCTAATAGCCCCAAGAGGGGGATGTCCTCCAGAGGGTATAAAGTATGTGTCTGGGGTTTGATAAACCCAGTTGAGCTCTGCCTTTTTCTTGCACCCTGTGATTGTCTGAAACACCCCTGAGAAATAATTTTTTTCTGCATCCTGTGATTGGCAGTAACACCCCTAAGCACCCCTTTATTTTTGCATCCTGTAATTGGCAGTAACACTCCTGAGCACCCCCTTATTTTTGCATCCTGTGATTGTCAGTGACACCCCTGAGAAATGCTTTTTTTCTGCATCCTGTGATTTTCAGTGACACCCCTGAGCACTCCCTTTTTTCCTGCATGCTGTGATTGACAGTGACACCCCTGAGCAGTCTATGTCTCATGTAGTCTGAATCTAACAGTGACGCCTTTTGAACAGTCTCTTTCTTTATGTGCCCTGTCATGTACAGTGTCACCTTTGAGCTCTGCCTTTTTCCTACACCCTGTGATTGTCCGAAACACCCCTGAGAAAAAATGTTTTTCTGCATCCTGTGATTGGCAGTAACACCCCTGAGCACCCCCTTATTTTTGCATCCTGTGATTGTCAGTGACACCCCTGAGAAATGCTTTTTTTCTGCATCCTGTGATTTTAAGTGACACCCCTGAGCACTCCCTTTTTCCTGCATCCCGTGATTGATAGTAACACCCCTGAGCAGTCTTTTTTCTTCTGCCATCCGGTGACTAACATTGACACCCCTGAGCATTCATTTTTTTTCTGTATCCTGTGATTGACAGTGACACCCCTGAGCAATTTCTTTCCTCCACCATCCAGTGGCTAATAGTGACACCCCTGAGCATTTCCTTTTATTCTGTATCCTGTGATTGACAATAACATCCCTGAGCATGCAATTTTTTCTCCCTTTTTCCTGTATCCATTGGCAAATAGTGACACCTCTAAGCAGTTCCTTTTCTCCTGCATCATGCAGATACGAGACAGGCAATACCTGGGCTGTCTGTAGGATTCTTTGAAGATTTTAAATCTTTGCGTGATTGGAATAATAGTAAAAAGTAACAATAGTAGTATTATACAATTAGTAGTATTATACAGTATAGTATAGTCTATATTTTGCCATCTTTCCTTACACCTTGAACAATAGTCAGTTGATTGGGGTTTTGTTCTGTATTATGAACAGTATGAACTACTATTAGACAATCACCCTTCTAAAACGCTAAAATGATATCTGGTATCAATAACTGTTATCAGCCGACAGAATATTCTACTGACACGTTGTGAAATCTTTCTGACCAATTATCCCCTATTTCTGTGAGCCATTGTTTTTGTATGTTCCGATTGTTCTTTGTGCATCCCAAACTGAAGTGTTATTAAAAAAAATGCCTTGATGTCTGTGGTCAGACCTGTTCACGCAGGACCCCTCCAGTGCTGCTTACACGTCTTCCTGCACAGAAATTAAAATGTGACTAGTGACGCATCACGACACTGTCCCACCTGCTGCATAAACCCAAAAGCTGCTTTCTTATCCCCCCCCCCCTTTCCTTTCCAATTTACTCACCAGGTCCTTGGAGGTGCCCAATCTCCTCAGCTGGTCTAGTGGCAGCAGATCTGCAGAATCCTTGTGCACAAATTGGGTGGCCTGTTTAAGGCGCCTCTGTTGGTGCAGGATGGCTGCGCCCCTTAAGTCCTGATCTTTTCTTGGGGATCCCCTGGTCTTGGCATCTTCTGGCATCCCCACCGAGGGCTTCTGAAAGCTCATGGTGGCAAGCAGGGGACCCTCTGCGGATGGACTTTATCCCCCTGCCCTCTATTTATTGTTATCTTGCTGTGTGTGCACCCCAGATTGCCTGTGTCCAATCCGTCTGATGTGTCTCTGTATTCTGGGGGATTCCTCTGTTAATTCCCCTCCTCCTCCTGCTCTGCAGTGATTCCCCTTTCCCTGCCTCCTCCTTTACAAGCTATCCATCCTCTGCCACTGTGCACAGCTCCCTCCCCTCCAATCTTCCCCCCCCCCATTGCACTGGTTTCATGTACAGTCCTGTTACGCAGTTTAATGGGTCCCTCTCTCCTCTGCCAGCTACTTCTGCAAAAGCATCACATCCCAGCAAGTCTGTATGCGCAGAACACTAAATCCTGGCTGAATGGAGCAGTTAAGAAAAAAGCATGCACATTAATCTGAAGGGCTGCAAAAACCTATTATTTTTAGGGTTTTTTTTTTACTGACAGGTACCTAAATGTTTGCTGACAGCTAGCATTTGTCCACTGTGCATTGTTATGCAGAGCGCAAACACGAGCTGCGGATGGGCAATAATTTCACAGCACTGAATGTGGTTTAGTCTTTTGTTTTATTTTAGACATTATATATGTAGACATTTACTGACAGCTGTTTTTTATGCTACATAAAAGCACAGAAGCTAAGAAAAACAATCTGCAGGTTTGGAAAATTGAAATTTTATTTTTTGTTTCCTTCTACTGACAGTTGTAAATGCAGTTGCTGACAGCGTACATGAGCAGTGACACAGAGGTAGCAGAATTGCACAGTTTTTTTTTCATTTACTGACAGTTTTTTAAATGCTTACTGACAGATTTCTCTCCAAATTTAGATCTAATTTATTGGGATTGCTAAATGTAGAATATGTCTTTACTGACAGAATGAAAATATTTGCTGACAACATGTAGACAAAAATGGTTTGCAGGAGATGGGGGGGGGGGGGGGGGGGGTTGCGTGCTTTGCGCCTGGAGGAAGTCTAGATATCCAGGCCAAATTCAGCAAAATCAGTATACATCGGTTAACATGATGATGACTAATTTGCAGACCTAAATAATGCTTACGTCATTTAGTCTAAAGGTATCTTAATTGATACACTGTTTTTCAAACATTATATTGTATATTATATATATTTTATTATTAAAACCTCGCTTTGACTTTTAGTGTAGACCAGGGGTATGGAATTAAAATTCAAGGAGGTCCAGTCACTAAAATTTTCTTCCAGCTGAGGTCCGAATCTCAAGTTTGTGCTATGACTCTGCTGCTATGACTGCTCTGAAAGATTGTAGACACTGTCTATCAAAAAATTAGACAAATTTCATAGCATTTCAACAATATGTATTGTCAAGTTTCATCAGGTGTCACCATCAAAGTGTCCCTTTCCATCATATTTCCCCATCAAAGTGCCCCTTTCCATCATATTTCCTCATCAGAGTGCCCCTTTACATAATATTTCCCTACCAGAGTGCCCAGTTCCATTGTATGTGCAGATTAGAGTGGTCCTTTGCATATTATGTGCCCATCAGAGTGGCCCTTTCCATAGTATGTGCCCATCACAGAGCAACTTTCCATCACATGTGTCCATCAGAGTGCTCCTTTCCATCACATGTGCCCATTAGAGTGCCCCGGTATGCCCACCAGAGTGCCCCTTTCAATAGTATGTGCCTATCAGTGTGCCCCTTTCCACAGAATGTGCCCATCACAGTGCAACTTTCCATCACGTGTCCATTAGAGTGCCCCTTTCCATCACATGCGCCCATTAGAGTGCCCCGGTATGCCCACCAGAGTGCCCCTTTCAATAGTATGTGCCTATCAGTGTGCCCCTTTCCATAGTATGTGCCCATCACAGTGCAAACATGTGTCCATTGCCATCATGTGCATGTGTCCATCCCCTTTCCAGAGTGCCCACATGTGTCCATTAGAGTGCCCCTTTCCATCACATGTGCCCATTAGAGTGCCCTGGCATGCCCACCAGAGTGCCCCTTTCCATAGTATGTGCATATCAGTGTGCCCCTTTCCACAGAATGTGCCCATCACAGTGCAACTTTCCATCACATGTGTCCATTAGAGTGCCCCTTTCCATCACATGTGCCCATTAGAGTGCCACGGTATGCCCATCAGAGTTCCCCTTTCCATAGTATGTGCCCATTAAAGTGTCCCTTACCATGAGGGGCACACTAATGAGCACATATGTAAACGGACACTCTGATGGGCACATTTTATGTTAAGGGCATTCTGATGGGCACATATTATGTAAAGGGGCACTCTACATGCCCATTAGAGTGCCCCTTAACATAATTTGTGCCCATCAACGTGTCCCTTAACATAATATGTGCCCATCAGCATGCCCTTGTAAACAGCACACCAGCATGTACCCAGAATAACAGCATGAAAGTAAACAGCATACCTTGCAGGCAGGGAGCAGGAGCCGGGAGAGGTAGCGAGCTGCAGGGGGCAAGAGCTGCACCGAGAACCTTGCTGAAGAGGGCAAGGCGCACACGTAACATCATTGGCTGCTGGGACGCCCACGGTCCCAGCAACCAATGACTGCTGAGCAGCAGTGATCTAGCGCAATCCATCATTTAATAACGGCTGGTGTAGACTGACAAATATATTAAAAAAAGATTAAAAGAAAAAACTGTACTAATTTTAAAATGAATGCAGGTAAACTGTATATTATCCCCAATATTTCATATTCCTGATATGTATCTGTTGTACTATGTACTTAAAAGGTATCCTGTTCTCTGCATTGCTTTCTTTGTGTGAAATACCTGGTGATCCAGACAGCTCACCTGCTTTAATATTTCAAACTGACTATGCCAGGAATGGAGGCACATCCATCCCCGCGCGTGGTCAGTTTTCTACATTGCATTTTCCTTGGGAGCACAGCCTGCCTGTAATCTAGTGGTGAGACGTGTGCTGACATGTCACCCTGCAGAGCTGATAACTGGGAAGCGCAGTGTGCTGCTGTTTCTCTGCAGTCTCCACCTCCACCTCTTTAAGTGCCTTATGCAGCTGAGAACAGAGGTTATGTGATCACTTATTAAAAAAAAAAAGAACAAAAAAAACATTTTTAATGTTCTTTACATATATACAGTATACACACACACAAATGTTTTGCCTTGCATTTCTGTTTTGAACTGAATGTGTTGTTTTACAAGGTAGGGGTTCTCATATATTTTAAGCTGTCACTGTGCACCCCTCTGTGGTAGACACTGTTACATCATAAGCTGGCAGGTTTGTTTGTAAACAAACCTATGTGATCACTATTTCATATCTGTCATTGTGAACACATGGTCAGGAACCACCTTAAAATGACATGAAACAACATACATTTCCCAAACGTAAATCAACATCAGCTACTTAATGACCTTGCAATCTATTTGTCATGAAATTGTTTCCTGCTGTATTTTTCTTCCATCCTCCATGAGCTCCTGAACCTCATGTTTTTACCCTCACATTTGTATGTTTGGAATGAGCAGGGCATGTTAGGTGCAGTCATGTGCACTGACTGCTCTATGAACGCTACAAATCCCATAGTCCATAGTCACTAGCCCATCTCAGCAGCGAGTAAGGGAGGGGCTATATTCGTACATACAATGGGACCATGGAGAGTGAACGTAGCCAACCTGTAACAGGATGTCATATCCCGATAGCAAAAAAGGTAATTTGGAGATATGAAGGAGGCTGAGAGAGCAATAGCAGGTCCTTTTTTTAAAACTTGAGTTTAGTGTCACTTGAAGGGGTTAATCCTCCACATTGTGTAAAAAAGGCTGTTTGATCAACACTTCTCTGATCCTCCCCTTCTTGCAGTGTCTCCCTCTTATCTCCTGATAACACATATCGTGTGGAGTCACTCTGCACATGCTCGCGTTGGTGTGTATGGCTAGAGAGGTTGTTTTTTGTTCTTGGGAGAGTGCATGTGATCAGCACAGGGCCAAGCAGCACTGTCCAGACAGAGGTCAGGAGTTCTCCATCCTCCTAGAGCAGAATGAAAAATCCTCCTACAAGCTTTAACCAGTGCTCTGCGGGACACTGATAGATGTCACAAGACTGCTCTACCTGCTGATGAGAAAGGGTATTTAGCAGTTTATATTTACTAAAATAATTGCACTTCCATGTTCTGTGTACTGTGGGAGGCCAGATATAGTGAATGCAGGGTCCGGGATTTAGTAACACTTTAAGTAAAGCTGCAGATTTAAACAGATTGAACCTGACACTTGAAAAGGCATTAACAAGGTAAAGCAAAAATGAGTGAATGGTCTTATAAACAATTTATTGTATTCACAGTATGGGGCTTCATGCCTGGGAAAGGTAATAATCAGATTGCAGATGGTATACTAACACATATAGAAAGAGTTCTTCATTGTAACAGCTTTGAAAATGTGTAAGGCCTCTTGAACACGGGCATCTGAGCCCATTCAACATAAATGCCAGCATCTTTCCAACAGGGAAGCCCAGGTGCAGCATACAGCCTCCCATACACATGAATGGCTTTGTGCTGCTGTACATGGGCATACGCAGGTGCTATTGTGTACATGAGTATAGAGTACAGGTTTATGTAAAAAATGCTTTTTGAATGGGCTTAGACAACCATATGCAAAAGCCCCCATTGTCATACACAAGTGTAGCGCTACCGTCTTGAGAAACGCTGGTTTTGGGGTCCCCCTTATCTCCTCCTGCACAGTCAGGCAACATGCATTTTCCAGACTCAAGAAACAGTCCATGGGCTTGTTTTTCTTTTTTTTTTATTTATTAGAGAATTTAACTTGGAATGGGTAAAGGGGTTATGGGATGCCCAACTGAATTGAAGTATAACAAATGAAAAAAAAAATACTTCTCTAAATTACTACAAAATTGGCAAATATTAAGTGTTCCAGCCAGAACCATGACAATCTTTAGCAAAGTCCCAACTTGAAGGAGCTATTAGTCCCCTAAGTGAACAAAATACCAGCCCACCTGACTACGGTATCTGATCCCAGGAGACAAGA